ACTTGTTTTAAATTTCTTCAGGCTTTAGTTGATACCTTAGCTTCAACAAACAGCATGACAATGATCTATTTTTATCAGTAAATGCAATTCAATAGATTCTATCGTCGTAAACAACACAATGTCATGAACTATTGCTCCAAATATCTGCTCGTTGCTCCAATGCCACCCAAAATCGGCATCAAAAAAAGAAAATCTTCTAAACGAACTCCGTGAATTGGCTGAAACCCCAAGAGGGAAAGAAGAAGTCGATAACCTTCTTGCAAAAGATCAAGACCACGAGTTTCGCTGTTGTACAAGGGCACTTCTGTCCTTGACAGTCGTCGACCAAGAATCTAACCACTTTCAACATCATGCTATTCAATTGAAGAATGAGATACATCGCAAGGAATTGGATGACTTCGATTTTGAATCAAAAGAGCTACAAAGATTTCCTAAAAGGTTTCTTTGAAAAATGAATGTGAAACATTTTGCATGAAATAGTTTGGAAAGAGGAAGTGCCAGCAGTTTTCAAAAGATGAACTTTTGGTCGTTTCAACAATTCATCTTTGCTTGGCAGCACAAGATAACGTATTATTGGGTGATGTTTATGAGCTTTGGAGAAGGAGTGAGAATGCGCTGCGAACCCAGAAAAAGAAGATCTTGAAGCGTCTCAAAGACTTTGTAGAGAGAAGTACTATAACACTGTCAAACGTTGTTCCAATGGCTGACGATGTCCCTACTTGCAGTTCTGGCCCTTTTCCCCTCTCCGCAGGTGCATTTGCGGCCTTCCAATCCAGAGCTTCGTCTTCCGCAGGTGTTGAATTATAATACGCCAGACAAACAAGACGTCGATCAAGAATCTCAGACAAGTGGTACACCTTTATGCATCCGGAAAAGTTTTGTATTGCAGCAGGCTCGAAGCGTTACTACATGCAGAAAGACGAAGTGAGGGAAATGAATAAGTCGGAGACCGATTGGAGCCATTGGATCTCCATACCAGCGACGCTGGTTTCAACAAAGGCGACGGCGACAGCAGCAGCAAAGCACGGCAGTTCTTCTCCTCATCTAAGACAATGAAGAAAGTACGGCAATTCTTCTCCCCATCTAAGGAAAACAGTCCAAACTCGGGGCAAAGTGGCCCAGCCGTCAAAAGAGGAAATTTCAATCAGATCCCTACTGCAAAGGATGTAGTTTCGGGCATTTTCAGAGATGTCGGAGCCTACTTTACCTTTGGTTTGCCACCACCAGACGAGTTGGTTGTTGGCATACTAATGATATGGATAGTTTTTATATTTTATTGAAGGTGTACCAGGTACTTTTCACCATTTCTCCATACATTTGTCTTTCAACACTTGAAAAGTCAAACATACGCAGGCCAGACGGACAACCAACCCAACAGGTTCGACTCATACGAACGAAAGGCAAGCCATATCGCGCCGGCATGTCACTTTGTGTCAATGTCAGATTTCCCTAGCGCAAAACCGTAGTGCCGGGTGCAAACGACCACATAACGAGCATACCGCCAACGGTGTCAGCTTCTTGCCAGCCCCCTTTTGGACCCAACCACTCCCAGCCGACTTGTGCCGAGCTACCGTCCACATCACGCCTTCGCTAGGTACTCTAGCCCTCACCGGCACTGGGACAGCACCGCCGCAGCCGCATCACGACTCTCAACCGTCTTTGCTAGCCGCCTGGATGGCCGCCTCAGCCAGGGTGACCGAGTATGTTGGCTGGACCCCTGAAGAAATAGAGATCGATGGCGACGAAAGCCTCCTTGCTGAAGCCCTACTCGAAGACCGGCTGTGTGTGATCAGCGACGGTTCTTATAAGCTCGGTCTGGGCACGGCAGCGGTTCAACTGCTTCCACGTAAAGGTGGCAAGGCACATAATATTGTTCCGTGCCAGACTCCGGGTCTACCTGAGGATCAGAGCGCGTACCGGAGTGAATTACTTGGCCTACTGGCCGGTATCATGGTTGTTGATTGGCTCCTGGACCAGTGGGCCCCAACACTTCGATCACCACCCCGCGTTAGGATTGCGTGCGATGGATTTTCGGCGTTGCTCAACACCTTTGGTGACAATCGAGTCACACCGCAACAAGCCCAGTTTGACCTGGTCTCCTCTATCCGGGAGGCACTTGCCCGCTCTAGGGCCTCGTGGGAACCTAGCCACGTGTACGGTCACCTTGATACGGCGACATCCTTTTCGTGCCTCTCTTGGTGGTCCAAACGGAATGTGGAAGTGGATGCGTGGGCGGTTGCCTATCGCCACCAGCTCGAAGCTTCACACCGATTGATTGCACCTAACGCTCGTTTCTTTACCGAATTGGCTGCCCTCTACATCGGGGACGTCAAACAGTCGCGATTGAATCCAGAACAGGTCCAGGAACTGGTGGCGCTGCCTGCTCTACGCAAGCAATGGCATGAGCGGCAGACGATTACACCAGAGGCAGAACTAGAGACTGATTGGACCAGTCTGGCTCGCGCCATGAGCTCCCTTCCGGCAGGTGTCCAACGTTGGATCACAAAGCACGTCGTGGGGATGTGTGGTGTAGGGAAGTTCAGAGTCCGGTGGGGTTCCGCCGACTCAGCTGCGTGTCCCTGCTGTGGCGAGTTTGAGGACCACCTTCATGTTCCTCGATGTATGGCGCCCTCGGCGAGTGCGGAATGGGAGCGCCGGACGGCGACGTTGGACCAATGGTTGGACAACCAAGTCACTGACCCAGCCATCAAACACGCTATCCTCTACCTTTTTCAAGGGGTTTGTGATCCGTCCCTACCTCGCAGTCGGTTGGTTCCGGTTCGTCTTCGCCGCGCTTTCCTCTCCCAACAACGCATCGGCTACCAAGGTTTATTGGAAGGCCGGCTGTCTGTTCAGTGGGCGGCCCTGCAGGAACAGTACCTTCAGTCACGAGGGAGCCAACGCTCTCCGACCCTGTGGGTCTCTCGCCTGTCGCATCAGCTGATCTTGCTTGGATTTCATATGTGGGAACACCGGAACTTGGTGCAACATTCGGAGGACAACGTACAGCTACGCGAACGTAGCCAATTGGTGAACGACGGTATACACTCTCAGTTTGATATGGGCCCAACTGACCTCCCCAAGGTAGTTCAACGCATGCTCGCCGTGAAACGCCAAACCGTGTTGAACAAGCCGTTGGTCGATAGGGAAGAGTGGCTGAAGCTGGTTAGAATGGAGCGCACGGCCTATCGCCGCGCTCTGGCGCCCCAACGCCGTATCCTTCACCGCTTCTTCCACCCGGCCCAGGCCCCCTAATCCCGTTTCGAGGAATCAACGCCCCAAAATCACCCCGCCTTGTCGCGGGTAGAGTTCGGATCCCCTCGATCCTGACTAGAGCAACTTCTGTCCACCAGATGTCTCCAATGGTTCAAACTAGTTGTTGACTCGTCGCTTCACAGTACTTGACCTTTACAGCCGCTTATTCCACCGGCAATCGTATGCGCTAGATAGCATTTAATCAATTAATGTTTCAGTTATTATTAAAGTGAAACATAGAGGGGCAGAGAGATGGCCGAGACATCTGACTGTTTATGGACTTGCGCCGGTTGGCCGAGTCGATGTTGGGTTGGCGGGGTGCGCCAGGTTGAAGATCATCTGGCGTTGCCTGGCTAGAGAGCGACGGTTGATCGCTCTCTCACGGGAGACAAGGCACAGCCAATGTTGACGATCTTCAAGTGATTTGTTGAGGACAGTTTCGCGGGAGTCACGAAAGAGGTACTGCGAGCGTGAGGGGATATCAATCAGGCCCATGGCGAACTGTTCGCGGATGCCAATGTCAATCTCCCGCTTGCGAGCCGTGTACCAGGAACTGTCTTCCGAATGTGCACGCCGGTTGCGGTCTTTCCACATGTAGTGCCCGATCCGGATCAGTTGTTGGATCAGGCGGAAGGCCCAAAGGTTGGCGGACTTCTTGGAGCCGATGTAGGAGAAGTGAAGGGCCTGCAGATGTCTCCATTTGGGGGACACTAGGCCCTCAAGGAGGCCCTGGGCCCCAAGCTTGGCTTGGGAGGAGATGGCACTGCGGAAGAGATGAGGCTGGCGAGACCAGGCTCGGACGTTGGGAACTCCCAGGGAAGGCTGGCGGACCGTCTTCAGGTATTCAAAGAGGAAGGATTCGATCTCTGGGGCGGTTTGCTGGGTCTGCATCCAGGTCCGGAAGGCCAGATGGCGTTTCGACTATTCTGCAGCTGCAGTAGGAGCAGAACAGCGTGGGACATGGAGGTGGTCTTCCACCGGGCAGGAGGAGCATCTGGGGCAAGAGCTCGTTGTCGAACGGTTCTTCACTCAGAAGCAAAATGAGACTGTAAATGATTACAGAAGACGGTTCGAAGCCCAAGCTGACCAAGTATTTGAAATCCTTGGCACTAATGTGTTGCATGTCTATGCGGCTAAAACAATGGGGTACCTGGATTTGTACAATCCGGAGGACGATCCAGACGATACCAAGATTCTCCAAGAAAGATGTCCTAGAAGCATTTAAAGCAAGTGCATTCTTTTATAACTGTGACAGGTCTTGCTTCCAAAGCATGTTGGATAAAGCAAATCAGACCTACGCCATGGAATTCAAGGACTACAAGCAACGAAATGAATATCCGACTATGATTGATCAGGTTGCAAAATAATAATATTAACTGAGACATTAATCGTTAATATGCTACTCTATGGGCATTCGATTGCCGGTGAAATATTCGGCTGTAAAGGTCAAGTACTGTGAAGCGGTGAGTCAACAACAAGTTTGAACCATGTGAGGCATCT